AACTGGGTTGTAACATGGGCTCCTTTCCCTTTCTGGGCCTATTAACCTGAGCAGGTAATTTTGTTTGTTTTAGCCTCAATGTCTTAAACTGTAAAATGTGGCAAATAGTTCCTGCCTCATATGGTGGTTGGGAAGGTTAAAATAAGGGCACATGTGCCTGGTATAGTTCTGGCACGTCAGAGCCATTCAAAAATCGTCATTTTCATTACTGTCATGATTGTATTCCCCTACAACTTTGTCACGATGTTTTCCCTTCTCCCCTCCAGCTTGGTGACCATACCTGCCTTCCCTATAGCACCCAGGACTCTTGGCAACCTGGGAAAACTGGGAGGCTTGCATATTGTATTAGTGGCATCTCGCGAGTCCCCTTGGCCGTGGTCCGTTCAGAGCAAAGTCTCCTTGCTTTAGTTTAGTTTTTTAATCTACACAAAGCATCTTTGTTTCTTCGCCTATAATATTTTCTCCTGAATTACCGTGTTAGTTTTCCTAGTGCAACTGTTACAAATTACCACAGACTGGGTGGCTCAGAACAACATTTATTCTGATTCCTGGAGAGTCCAGAAGTCTGAAATCAAGGTGTGGGCAAGCCAAGCTCCCTTAAGAGCCCTGGGGAGAGTCTTGGGGTTCCTTGGCTTATAAACACATCATTCTGACCTCAGCCTCTGTCCTCACACAGCTTTCTCCTTTTGTCTTTGTGTGCAAATTTTCTTCTAGGGACACCAGCCATTGGAATAGGACCCACAAAACCCATTATGACTTCACCTTAACTCAATACATCTCCAAACACTGTTCCAAGTAAGATCACGTTCACAGGTCCTGGGCATCGGGACTTCACCATATCATATGGGACACAGCTCAACTCAACACTTGCTGTCACCCTATATACCTACTTTAGACCAGACTTCCGAATGCACATATGTGACATCAGCTTTTTTGTGTGTGCGTGCCTTTCTTTTTTCCTCTGGTTAGTTATTTACTCTCACTGTGGTTTCAAAAAAATGTTTTGAAGTGTCTAATTGGCGGTAATACGATCTATCTTGGTGTTTTACTTCTGTAAACTAAAGAAAGGAATCTTGTGCAGGAAGAAAATAATGTAGGACCGCTGACTAGGGAAACTACTTCAAAAACTAGACTGAGAAACAAGAGATAAAAGGGCAGCCACTCACTGCAAAGTCTGTTTACAAAGGTTTATGACTTGGGTGTGAATTGGCCATTCAGGCTTGGTGAGCCCAGGACCCAACTGACGCTGGGGCTGCTGGCCTGTGACTAGAAGCCCTCCAGGCAGAGAGCTCTGGCCACGCAGACCCCTGATTGGAGTGTTTTAAAGGCAAGAAAAACATCTCAGAGCATGGTTATGGTCAACTGCTTGATCTTCCAGTGCATCTGTGGGCCGCTGCCTACAGCGGAGTCCGAGGTAGGTTCTGGCTTGTTGGAGTGTCGTTTGTTTTGGTGCTGGGTGTTTGTGGTTCCAGGTATAATCACCCTCAAACTACTTCCCCGGAATGAACATGGGTCATATTTCAGACGTAGGTAATCCTTGCTCAAAGGAGATTTAGTCTTGGAATATGCATCAGAGTTCAGATTTGTTCTATAAGGAATGTAAGTCATTCTGGCTGAGGCTCACTGTTTGAATGTGAGCTTAAAGCTGAGGGGTTTTATGTCCTGCCCTCCCTCCCTCCTTCCCTCCCGCCCTCCCTCTCTGTGCTTTTGCTAGTTGTAAAATGGACATTTCAATTTTATATATTATTCTGTTAACTAATTTTTGCAATTCCTAGAACATTTGGTACCACTTGGAGGGGGTGTTTCTCCTTTTATTGCTTCAGTGGGGCTGTGTAAATACTTGCAGTAGAATTACAGTGGTTCTGCCCGATGCTCCCCTGTGTGGGACAGGCTGACACTGAGTCCTGATGTGTTAAGGGAACCAAGCTGGCGCCCGTCTCTGCCCTCTGTTCCCTGCTGTCAGCACACCTGCCTTTACCTGCCTCCATCACTTAATGTTGTAAAGATTTTTTAAGGTGTCAGATGGGCACTTATTAGGGAGACCACTTCATGGACGGTGTAGATGCCTGACCATTGCACTGTATACCTGAAGCTGAAGCTGAATAATACTGAATGTCAACTATAATTTTATATATATATATATATATATATATATATATATATATATATATATAGTCACAGGATGTGGAGTACAGCATAGGGAATAGAGTCAATGGAATTGTAACAGCTATGTATGATATGTCAGAGGGGTAGTAGATTGGGGGGAGGCGGTTATCACTTTGTGAGGGATGTAAATGTCTGTTACATTGTTTTGTACATCTGAAACTAAAAGCAAAACAAAACAAAACAAAACAAAAAAACATTTTCCTGGAGTGTGTTTTGGTCTCAGGATTTGTTAACTGAACAGCTAAGACAGCTTCTTGTTTTCCTAAACGCAGTTCCTTACTTTCTTTTCTGCATCAGTGAGGAAAAGCCGGCTGCCTGTTGTGTAAGTGGAAACAAAACCACATGTAGATTTGTGATCAGACTCCTCACTGCCTGTAGTTTTGTTGTACCTGTTTCTCTAGCACATTGTTTCTGAACCTTTTTATCACAGATTGATAATATAAACCGGTTTAGTCTCATGATGTGCTTAAGTTATCTGTGCCATTTGACTTCAGAATTTAGTTACACTATCCATAATAACATGTTTTTCATATGTAATGCAAAAAATAATAACTTTTCCATGATTTCTCTTATATTTTCCCAGAGAGGAAAAACTTTTCCTCCATTCTCTTAATTTACCACTTGGAGGTGTGAGAATTAAACTTGGCAAAAGACAGATTTGCAAGAGAAAAGACAGATTTTTATTCCTGTAGGCAAGTGGGAGCTCACAGAAAAATGCGACTCCAGGAAGTGGTTAGCATTGGGGGCTTATCTACCATCTTAATAAAGGAGAAGGGCGTTTATGGGAAACAAGTGACTTTTAGGAAAGATAAATGCGCCTGTAAGGAACAGATGGAGATATGACGGTGTGTGAGCATGTCTGCTTAAGTGAGGGCTTCTCCTGGGGAGTGCGAAGAGTCCGTCTTCCCTGGTTGGAAGAAAAATTCCATCCCGGGAGAGGGGATTCATGACACCTGCGTTCTGGGAGGCTCTGCTTTTAGGCAGATGAGGGAGTTCAGAAAAAAGCCTATTCTTAAAGACCTTCAGTACAAAATAGTTTTGATGCCACAGTGGTGTATTGTGGACCCTTTCAGTGGTGCCTTGAAATAAAGATAGCATTCCAGGCAGCAAGAGTCAGTAGATAGCAAGGTCCCTGATGATTGCTGGAACCCATGTTCTTTTGAGCAGGGGTGACTTGGTCTAGTGGGAAATTTTCATGGGAACAGAAATTATGAGACCCACATTTCAGTGTCTCTGTTGAAGCTATTTGGCTGTGTGGCCCTCAGCAAGTCACTTCACTTCTGTAGGTCTCAGTTTTCCTAATTTGAAAAATGATGGGGGTGGAGTAGTGTATCTATAAATCCCTTCGTACTTCTTTGCTTTTCCCCAAGTATTTCATAGTATGTGATTGTAGGGAATTGGAAATTAGGGGACATGCATTTCAGGCCTCAGTTGCCATTGATTGGCAAGAGGTGGGACTTCGTGGACTAATGCTCATGGGTAGGCCTGGTGTGATCACCAGGGGCTGCCACCTCTGCTCTGCCCTGGTGGCCTGGTCTGTCTGCTTTGCAGTCACATGACTTTTCTGGTTAATCTAGTTCTCTCCCTGTGCCCAGTTCTGTTTTTATTTTTATTTTATTTTTAACTAATGTATAAGGATGGAAAAACTGAAAGCACCCCAGCTCGCAGGCATGTGACTGGTGCCTGCTGCAGACTTTGGCTAGCCAGCCCCTTTCTCTGCTCCCTCCCATGGAGTGCTGAGATAGCCCTCCTCAGAGAGGAGATTTTGAGGTATCTGCTGAGATAGAGGTTGTCTCCAGGCAGGACTGAATCAGGGAGTGCTAATTCTATGGCAGTGCTTTTTTAAGAGCAATAATTAACTATGACCGATAAGGGCTATCTTACTTACCATTGTTGCATTTCATCCTCACAGTTACAGAACCAAATCCACAGAAGTTAAAACTTACCTGAGGTTACAAAGCTAGTTAGGGGCCCAGCCTGACTCACACAGAAGTCTGCTTATTTTCAAACCTGGAGGAGAGGGGAGCGATTTCTAGTACATTGCATTGCCTCTGACAAGTTACTTAAAACAGTAGAAAGTATTGCCTAAATTTGGATTATAGACTCTTGAGCTGTGGATTGTCTAGTCTGAAATCTGAGATCCTAAAAGGTTAGTTGTGATTTGTCCAAGCTCACACAGCTATTGGGTTGTCAGAAAAGTCGAGGTATTTTTTCTATGTTTTTCGTTGCAAAAATGCGTCATGACTTTTCTGACAACCCAATAGTTAGCAGCCTGATCTAGTTCCTTGCATCCTAGTTAAGGGCTTTCCCCTCCTCCCCATCAGACTTAAGTTGAATCAGGGAGTGTCAGGCCCTAACAACTCAGACTTAATCTTCTTAAAGCACCTTTTATTTCTAAAAGTATTGAAAGACAATACCTTAGAGTAGCAATGGGCAGCATTACACATTCATTCTACTACTGGCAGCCTTGCATTTCCCCCACGCTATTGTTATGTATGATTTGGGTGATACCCCTACCTTAGTTAAAACTTCTTTTTATTAACTGCCAATGGTGCTGATTTTTAAAAAGCTTTTATCAGAGCTCATCATTGGTCACCAAATGTCACTATTTAAATTACAGTTTTAATTCAACTTCCAGTTAAAAATAGATTTGTTTATTTTAATTCACACTTCAGTTATGTCTATTAAACAAATAACTTTTAAAATAAGTAAGTAAATCAAGAAAGCTATGCCGCAGGGCCAGCCCAGGAAGGTGAGAGGGAGTGTATAGCTTGTTCTTTTTAAAAATAACTTCCTGGGTATTGGAGCTCACCTAATTGTTCACATTTGAAAAGGTTGTTACTGAGGAATCCTGGAGGCGGGGCTCATCCCAGGAGGAAGAAAGAACAGATGCTCAGAGGGTCCCCAGGAGGAGATGGGGCTCTGGGAGAAGGTCAAGGCCTCGACCACTCTCGGACTATGGCCAGCTGGCCAGCCGAAGTTTGTCAATTCCTGAAGACTCAGTTGCTGTGGACCCCCAGAAGGAGGACATTGTGGACAGTGCCCACCAGCCAAGCGCGGCCTCCATGAACCCTGCAGACCGGAACGCTGCCCTGGGCTGCCCCAAAGGAGGCCTGAGAAAACGTCCCATCTCTGTGATAGGTGGGGTCAGCTTCTATGGGAACAGCCAGACAGAAGAAATCGAGAACCTTCTAACCCAAGTAAGATCTGGTGTGCTCCCGCCAAAGCCAGCAGAGCCCTTGGCTTCCTGGCTCTTGTCCCCCCTGCAAACCAAACAGGACACAGCTTTCCTTTCTTCTCTTCTGACTCAAGGATGGTGTCATCTGCTTACCACTTTTCTTCCTGACTTTGCAAACATGCTTGGATTAAAACTAACCTTCTGATATTTGGATGCCTTTTACTAATGTTCTGTCTTTGCTGGTATCTTGAATAATACGTGTAACTAGTTTACTGTTTGTTCTGAATCACCTGAGGTTTGAATAAGGGGAAGGTAGCAGTGCATACTTAGTGAGCTGCCTGAAAGAAGACATTCTTGAAAGAGAAAGTGTAATCCATTGTTAAAAAGTAAAGATAAGAAAATAAAGAAGAAATTGATTTTTTTTTTTTTAGGATATGAGGAAATAATTTTTTCCACCATTTTAGTTTTTTTTGCGTTTGAGTTGTAGCTTTGCAACTCCTTTGACAATGCATTGAAATCTTAATATCATTCCATTAGTATAATGTCATAATTCAACCAGTATTTATCAGTTACCCAAAGAGCTCTTTGAGGGCACAAAACATTTCAATAAAGGAGCAGGTTCTCTTATTTGGCCAGAGGAATACCCCAGCCATGGTTGAGGGTTCATAGAACAGTATAGTAAGTGCCCAATTTCATTTGTTAAACTTGCTAGCTGATAGCATAAATAACCCATAAAGTTCTCTTAACAGGGAAGTTCCGTAATGATAGTGGATTTTATGTTTACATTCCACCTGGACAGCCCAGCACAATACCTTGCTTATAGCAAGCACTCAAAACCTTCTTGCTCAATTGAATTAAGTTGAATTCTTAAGGTTAAAAACAACCTGAACTGAAAAATACCACAAACTTTTTGTTGTGTTAAGATGCTCTACATGCTAGGAAATAATGCTGAACTAAAGCAAGCTGTAATCTGTTTTAACTCAAAACAGTATAGGGCAGATCTAAAGCACTTAGAAGTTATTTCACTTCAGAGCATCAAGAAAGAGCGTGCTGAGATAACTCTGCACTGCAAGCTCATTTTTGGTACTGGGTGGAAAAACATTAAGAAACCCTAAGGAAAGCATGAGCCAGCTTGGCCTTGGGTTCAGCTAGAGGGACGGTTGATATGAAAAATCAACAGGGCATAGAGATGATTCTAGAGATCGGGGTGAATTTGTGGAAAAGCAACTCTTCTTTTAATCAAAGCTCAATTGTCGCATTAGTTTAGGTAAGCAAGAATTGTATTCCACAAATACTTATCTGGTGTGTGGGTGTGGGCGAGTGGGAGTAGCCAGCCACTCTCCATCACCCTAGCCATGCTCTTTGGCACTATCTTTGTCTCTTTTGGAGGCGGCTGCTGGGAACACATCTTCTTGACCTTGTGACCCCTGCATCTCTGTGAGAAAGCCACCACTTCCTAAATTTGCTTTTCCTCCTCTTAGCTAACGCTTTGCTTTTACTGAGTTACCTATTGCTGACAGAGAAGATGAAATGTGAGGCTGCGAGGCAGTGGGTTGCTACTGATTTTTTTAAATGTCAGAATAATTCATTGCAGTTGAGCCTCAGTGCAGCCTGAAGTTCCTGACATGATGTGGAGACACCATTTCACATCTGAGTGGCTGCGAGGTGAGAACACAGAGCTCCTTGCAGCTGTGCGTGTGAGGAGCTTGCAAGGAGCTGCCACTTCCTGGCATCGTCTCACAGCCTCTTGCTTTCCTTTTGTAGCCAGCAGCCAGGCCGCCTGTGCCAGCTCACCAGGTGCCGCCCTACAAAGCAGTTTCTGCCCGATTCCGGCCGTTCACGTTTTCCCAGAGCACCCCGATTGGACTGGACCGCGTGGGTCGCCGGCGCCAGATGAGAACATCCAACAGTGAGTCTCACCCCGCCCCACCTCCAACCCGAATGGGGTCTTTCCTTCAGAAACTGCTGCGGAACCCACTTTGACTGTTTCCAGTGAAACCCAGGTGCCCGGGTTGACTGCCTACCTTTCCCCCTGTCTTAGCCTGGGCGTCGTTTGCGTGGGGGTGTGGAAGGCCAGTCGCAGGCTGTCCTGCAGGTGGGGGTACTTCGGCACCTGTCTGGGGAGGCTGCTCTGTGGGTGCTCTGTCACCACAGTGACCCCAGGCTCGAGGGGTTTGTTCCTCTGGTGGTGTCTGTGTACCTGAGTGCCCACAGGTAGAGGTCCCACCAAGAAGGGCGTCCCCAGGAGCCACCTTGACCTTTTTTAAGCTCTTCCTGGGTGTTTGAGATTCCCCAATACTGTTTGAACACCAAAGAAAAGTTATCTACTATAGTAGTTAACGTGCTGTCCTTGCTCTTACCCACTTGTTGATTTGAAATAATACCACATGTTTTGGGAATGATGCTTACATTCCTAAAAAAGAAAATCTTCCCCTGCACTTACATTCATGTCCATGCCAATCAGCTGGGTGGAGAACAGGCTGGCCTGGTGTGCACTGGCCGAGAATAAGAGTCGACATTCAGGGAGCACTTACCGTGCGACAGACACCACCCTGTGTGCTCTGAGGCTCTCTCTCATTTGATCTCCTTACCTCCATGCCACGGTGGATACTATTATTTCCCTCCTTTTACAAATAAAAAGGCCCAGATATAAAGAGGTCAACTGCCCTTAGTCACTCACCCAGGAAGTGGCACAAATGGGATTTGACCCTACAGTGGAATAGAGTTTCCAGTGCCCAGGCCCATGTTTTAACCACTGAACTCTGCTGAAATGCAGCAGACTGGTAATGAGTATAGCTTCACTTGCTGTTACCGTCTTACTTTTAAGAACAGATGCGGTGTGGTGCGCATGAGTGGTGAGCTGGGTGGTAGGAGGCCTCGGCCCTGGTTCCAGCACTGCCACTAACTCGCTGTGTGGGCAAGTCCTCCGCATGATGGTAGTGACTGAAGATGAGATTTAAATATGTTGTTCATGAGACTTGTAAGAGGCCGAGGGTATCACTTGGAGAACACTTACATTTCAGGGAGAGGACGAGGGAAAACCAGGATGGGTTGGAGAAAGGGAAAGAGAGCAAGGAGGTGTGGACTCACTGACAAGGGAGGCATTCTGAAGACTGGATGATGACTGGTGGCCAGAAATAGTGATAAGGTCACTGATGCATTCTAACAAAAATTGTTGAGGAAGATGCCCTGGGAGGGCCAAAGTGGTGAATTGGTGAATCGTGAAGAAATGGAACTGCCCTTAATTATGTTGGCATGGTTTCTAACTCATGTCACATATATTAAGAGGAACCAGCAGAGCCAAAAAGCGAAGAGAAATTAGATGACAGCTCATGCATGGGTCAGGAAATTGGCAAACATCTTGGACATCCCAGATGTCCGAGAGAGAGCCTGTTCCTAGGAAACGTGCCTGTGACTCCTCCAGTCAATTGATACCAAGCAGGCGGGACACCTTGGAACATTATTCCCCTTGCCTACAGTCACTAGGCTGTGTCCCTTTGTCCTCAGCGTCCCCTTACTTCTCAGGCTCCTTAACCCTCACTCTCAGCAGCTTCCCCTCCCCTGTCACTTCCTCAGGCCGGGCTTGCATACACACTAGTCCGAGTTACTGTTCATGTTCAACTCTTACTTTGCTGTTTCCTCACAAGTTTTCCCTATCGTCATTGGAATAAAGTCCCAGTTCCTTAAAAGAGTTTACAGGTTTTTCTGCCACCAGTCTCACACTCCATCTGCTTCTCTCACTTCTCTTGCCCGAGCTTACCATTCATGTTCCCGTCATCCACTCCAGGCTCTCACACCCGCTTTGATCTAGTTTCTGTTGCCTGCCTTCCTTCCCTTTACCGTTTGTCTGTGTTCTTTCATTCAGAATTCAAAACTCATTCTCTGCACACCGTGGTGACAAAGTAAATTCCTTGTCCTCCTATGCAAAGCAGTTTAGCCACAGGTCTTGTTCATTCTCTCTGATCCAGTCATCAACTTCCAGTCATGTATTTGAGAAAGTTATCCAAAAGGAGAAAAAAGCTGCATGTACAAAGTGTTCTTCACGACGTTCTTTGTGACAGCACAGGAGTTGAGCAATGTCAGTGTCCAGCTCTAGCAAACTGTCGCGTCGGAGTGTTTTATCAACAACTACTTCAGCATAATTGGGAAAACCATGTAACAGCATGCTATAATTTTAAAGTGAGAAAAAGAATAGGAAATAAAATCATATCTATGTTATATTAGTTTCCTAGGGCTGCCACACAAACTGAGTGGCTTAAGCAACAGAAATTTATTGTCTCTGTTCTGGAGGCTGGAAGTCCAAGATGAAAGTGTTGGCAGCATTGGTTCCTTCTGGGGACAGCACGGGGAAACTGCCAGCGTCTGTGCAAAAATGAAAATAGTGTGGTGAGGGTGGTAGGAATGTAGATGATGGCTCCTTCAACCGTATACACATAGCTTATTTCTGTGCTTTCTATAGCAGTGTTTTGTTTGGTTTTGATTTTAGTGATCTTTGTTGAGGCAACGAAAACTAATCGACCAGCTTAAGCAAAAAGAGAATTTATTGGAAGGATGTCAGGTGTTCCCAGAATTGATAGAATGGCTGGGGAGCCAGTCTAGGAAATGATGGCAGTCAGAGTTGTCTCTGGGAACCAAGGAACCACAGGGAACCAGCCAAGGGAGGCAGGGAGCAGGCAGACTGGCCATAGTGCCACCCCTGGACTGAACGTAGGCCAGCCAACCCTTCTGCCCTTCGGTCAGACAAGAGTCAGAGTCCCAGGATAAGGGATTCAGTTCTCAAAGTTTCGTGATGTGTCTGCCAGCTGGTGGCACAGCTATAGGGAGAAAGATGGGGTGCCTCCAGGAACCCCTTGCATTCTGTATTAGGAGGCAGGCGCAAGGAGTCCCTGTCCACTAAAGCGGAACACAGTGGAGCGGAGGTTGTTCCTCCAAAGGAAATCCAACTGGTGTTAGAAATAGAAAGAGATGCTGGACAGGTCCTCCGTTTGTTCATTCCAACATTCAGTAACTACTGAGTGTGTACCATGTGCCAGGTGACAGCAGTGAATAGAACAAAGTTCCTTAAATCACTTACATTCTAGTGAGGGGGTAATACATTAACTAGTAACTGTATAACATGTTAGGTAGTACTATAAAGAAACATAAAACAGGGTAGAGAGTATTCACTTTTAAAAGAATGTTATTCTAACATGATGCACCTATTCCATGTATAATTAAAAACACTCTCACTCCTCTCAAGGGAGACAACACAAAACCTCAGGAATAACTGCAGACATTGCCAAGTCTGGTCCCCGAGTAATATCCGTTCTTCTCCATTTCCTTTGCAATGCCTTTTCAATTCTTATACCCAGAGGTAAATTTAAGCAACACACCCTTAGCATAATGGAAAGAGGCTGGGGATAGAAGGAAATAGAAAATAAATAAGTTGTCTGCAGACATGCAAGGTACAAAGGGAAATGTCTCTCTCCTGCCTCGGGTTGCAAGGCCATATGTGCCATTTTTGACTTGGCTCAGTGAGTTCCCACCACACGCTCCCCTGGCCTCTGCCTGGCACTTTCCCTGGTAGTTCTTTGGCCGCTGAGGTGGTCCAAACCTTTACTTGGTAGGTTTCTTTTTTTCTTTTTTCTTTTTAAAAAGATTTTACTCGGGGGCCGGTCAAGTGGCATGTTGGTTAAGAGTTGGCTTGGGACGCCAGCTCTGAGGAGCAGGGCCTCAGTTCAGATCCCACGTGAGGACCAGTGACGCTCGCCCTCTACAGCTAAGATGCTGAACAACAGCTCGACCTGGAGCTGGGCTGCCGCGAGTCGCCAGCAAAGACGTAGGCTGCAGCCCCTGCTGCAGTGGGCTGCCATAAGCTACCATGTACGGCTGGCAGCTGGTGTGAGTGGCCGTCCAGAGGCCGGCTACTGATCTGTCTCACCCGGGAAGAGCGCAATGATAATACCAACATGGGCCAGTGAAGTGACGTCCTCCACAACTAGACAGAAAAAAAAAAAAGGACAGCAACTTGTCTGTTCCCCTTCCCCTATTCTCCAATGCTGTTCCCCTCCCCCAACTCCCAAATAAAATTTGGCCCATGTTGGTATTATCATTGCGCTCTTCCCGGGTGAGGCAGTCGTTCGCTGGCCACTGGACGGAGGCTCTTGGCAGCTCATGCAGCTGCTGGCAGCTTATGGGAGCCCATTGCAGCTCCACTGCAGTCTACACCATCGCCAGCAACTCACAGCAGCCCAGCTCCAGGTCGAGCTGTTGTTCACCTTCTTAGCTGTAGAGGGCGCAGCTTCACTGGCCCTCATGTGGGATCCGAACCTGGGCCCTGCTCCTCAGAGCTGGCGTCCCAAGCCAACTCTTAACCAACGCACCACTCGGCCGGCCCTACTCCGTAGATTTCTGAGCTGTTAGTGGCCCTGCTTGCCTAGAGGTGCCATAGCCTCCTTTATTCCCCTCCCCTAGTTATTCAAAAATCAGTTGATCTACAAACGTGTGGGGCACCAGCTATGAGCCAGGCACTACTTTTACTGTTTGGAATCCAGCAGAGAATAAAGCATCACAAAAAGTTGACATTCTGGCATTTAAACAGATTCAGTAAGTCAATCAATAGGATTATCAGGCACTAATGATTTCTCGGGGGGGGGGGGGGGGGTGAAACATGGGTCATGTGGAGAACGGGAATGGTAGAGGGTGTTCTAATGTCTCTAAGGAGGTGATAGTGGAGTGGAGACTTGGCAGATGATCAGGAGGCAAAGGTCCGAGGGAGGAGAGGCCCCAGTGGAAGGAACATCAGATACCTGAAGATAGTCAGGAGCTTCATGTGTCTGAGGGTCAGCGATATCGCCAGCATGAGTAGGGCTCGGGAAATAAAGGCAGGAGACAGGGACACTGCAGTCAGGAGGTCAGCTAGGGCTAGGC